TCTGTCCCGGGTGCCCCCTATTTTCAAGACCTTTTCGTCACGATAGGTCTCCAAATGGGCCTCACCGAAAACCCCAAACTTGGCAACTCCTGGCTTATCGTCTTTAGGATGATGCAGCTGATGCATGACGACTACAGGAAAGCAGTCGATGGCCTCACTGAGGACCTCGCCGCTCTAACTAAGGAATGCGAGGCGGCACATGCCCCCGCCCCCCCCCCTCAGCCTACTACCACCACCCCTGCCCCTGTGCCCCTTGACCCCTCGGTCCCAGAGTTCCTCTTGGCCCCCCCTACTACCTTTACTACTACCCCTGCCGCCCCTGCTCCTGCTGCCTCCTCTAGTTGGGCAACGGTTGCCAGGAAGCCCAGGAGGTCCGCCCCCAGAACCCAGAAGGTGGCTCCTCAGCCCCCTAAACCCTCCTCTCCAGCTACTGCCCAGCCTGCAAGAAAGGGCCTCACTATGTGAGAGCGTCGCCTCCTTATTAAGAGAGATGACTCCCCCCTAGCTCTTACTGCCGTCCAACTTCGAGACGGTATCAACAAGGCCCTGGCCGCTACCCTGGTCCAGTCTGTCTCCTTGGTAGGTGGACTCGTTACTCGTACTACGATGGATTCGGTTATGGCAACCACGCTTAATAGCAATGTTGGGCTTTTTCTCCACCTCATTTCAGGTGCCTCCACCGTTCATCTCGACATCCCAGCCACCCAACTCCTGGTTCATAGCATTCCTACCTCCTTCCCTCTAGCCTCTGTGGCAAGCGAGCTCACTACCTTTAACCCTGGCCTGTCCCTTACGGGGCAGCCTAGATGGCTCACCTCTGATGACGCACAGGCTGGCAAGGCTGCCTCCACAATTATTATCTCTATCACTGGTCCAAAGGCCGTATCTTTTGTAGGCAAATACCTCTCAGCCTTTTCCAACCTCTAACGAACTGAGCGCCGCCTGCGCTACAACCGCTATACTCAGTGTTCTATCTGTCACAGCTATGGACATCACACCAACAAATGCGTCAGCTCTGCAAGCTGCCGTTGGTGCACTCTTTCACACGCCACTAGGGATCACACTTGTCCCACCTCCACCTGTCGTGTCCGCGGTCGCTCCTGCAGCCACTCTTCTGTTCAGTGTATTAACTGTGATGGACCTCACGACACCCACGCCCTTACCTGCCCCCTTCGCCCCCAACCAGCCCCGTTAGGGGATGGGGAAGGGGTTGACGACGAGGTGGATATGTCAACCACCTGACCTTGGTTTTCTTTAGGGCTTTGGTTTCTTTTCTTTTTGTTGCATCGGTGTATGCACGGCTATACCTTGTTTACCTCTCAGGTTGGAAGCCTGTTAGGGGTTTATTACTTTACCATGTATGGGCCCAAAGTATGCGAATTGGGCGTCGGCTCTACTCTGTTAGTCATCTGAAGCAATGCGAGGGGCTATATTAGCTCGAAATGGGGGTCATTCACCAGGCTTGGTCTGCATGGGCCTAGGGAGGCTTGGAAGCCGGGAAAGATATGTTTCCTTTGTTCATGCATGTGAAATTAAGGTTTTTTCTATTGCCATACTGTGAGGTGCATGCAGGTTTTTGAGCCATAATCAATAAACGTATAAATAAAAAAATAAAAAAAAGCCCTGTTATCCCCTACCTTGTAATCATGGCAGACACTATACTGACTCTTACAGGAGGTAGTTACCAACAGCTCTCTTGCAGTGTTCACCACCGGGCAGAGGTTCAGCCCTGTTCAGACTACAGTATCGAGTATGATACTACTAGTCTACGGGGGCAATCATGATGAAAGGAACACAGTGGATCTTACTTCAATCACGGCCATGCTGAGTGGTACTCGGTTTGTGCATTCTGAGAACAACATGTCCTTAAGGTACTGATTAGCATGGCCATGACAGAAACGAGATTATCTGCGTACTACCGGTATCTAGGACAACACTCCCCATCCTGGAAAAACACCTACCCATGTCAGCCAAGATCCACCAACGCTACGCTGCCTTGAAATCCCTTAGACTGTTTTCAAACACAGACGCTAAGGCAGCACTACTCGTAGGAGTGCCGTCAAACTTTGACGGTCGCTTAGCGTCCTTCAAATAAATATCATATATTTGTAGCTACAACTAACCACAAACCATATCCCAATCCAGGTAAGCAGCTTACAGCATTGTGTTCCATGGGGCAAGCCGACCCAACACGAATCCTGTTCAGTAAACACCTCAGGGTTGCCAAATCATAAAATCAAACATAAAATCACAACCACCCCTAATAGGCCTCGCACCCCTCCATCACAGTAGAAAACCATAACAAATTATACCAGTACTAGCCCGGTCTCCATCTTCATTTGCTCAAAAAAAAAATTTAGTCCTCCAGTATGCCCTCAATGCCTTGCCATCCCTGATAACACAACCACAATATTTGCAGTCCTTAACCTCATTCCAATTTATCTTCATCCACTTCAACAACAATGCAGTCTGGTATTCCCTATCCAACCCAGCCCACTTATCCTTGATCCTGCTCCAAAATCCATCATCCATTGATCTGCCACAAGTGTTCATGTTCTGGTTTAGGTGCTTCTTGAGTCCTGACCCTTTGGGGTTCTTGTTGCTTCCCCCTCCAAAGTGGCCATTACAGCCTGAGCATCTCAGCTTGTCATCTGATACAAAAAACCATTTTTTCTGAGTCAATTTAGTGACCAGTTTCCTGCATGTCCTACCATGTAACTTCCCACACCTATCATATACATCCTTCACCATTTTCTCTATAATCTCCCTACCATCATGCATAACACATACTGTATTGTCAAACAGATTTCTGTAACATATCTTCAGGCCTATATTGTCTTGCATAGTTCAAGTTGATGGAATCCCCATACCCAGGTACCCATATCTGCGCCACCATTCCCAGAAAAGTAGTATCTTCCTGTTTTCATACAGCTCCTCTATCAGTGGTTGCCCATTGCGGATTTGGTCAGACTTGATCAGGTAATCCTACTCCTTTCTGTTATCGCAGTCCTTATGGCCCCTCATGGTATCCTTACCGGCTCTGATCCATAGTAGAACATATGTATCAACTTGAAGTCTTGCAAGATTCCAGAGGTGCTTGTTACCACTGGCATTAAGTTCCTGTTTATAGTAGTCATAGCCATCCTCTCTGTACTACTTTAGGTGTACCATCCTCCTCTTGACCCGGTCTTCACCACTGCCATTCCGTTCTACCTCCAGTTCTTTCCAAACACTTTTTTGGGCTGGCTGACTCTATGCAATCTCGCCAACCTATTAGCCTTCTCATTCTCCCCAATCCCCACATGTCCAGTCACCCATCTAAATTCCACCTCCTGGTACATGTTTATAACAGGTATCATCCTATCCCACAACCCACACAGGTTGCCTGAGTTTTCCATCTGTTGGATTGCCTCCACTGTATTTTGTAAATCTGTAAACATAGTGGCCTTCCAGGCCCTGAGGACAATGCCATGTTTTAGGCCTCCCAGTACTGCTGCCATCTCCTCCTTGCTAATGTTCCATGTACTGGGCAGTCCAAGACCACTCTCCTCAGCCATTTCTATCCTGTTCTCAATCCACCATCCTGCACCAGTTCCAGCCCCATTCTCACCGCTCTTGGAGGCATCGGTATATATCCAAGCTGTGTCCTCCGGTCTCATGAGTTTCCGAAATTCCTCAACACTCTCCTTCTTGTCCTTTGCTATCATGGTGTGGTAAGGTGATACTAGTATCGCTTCCGAGGAGGTAGTTTTCTTTCTTCTTTCTCCAGTGAACCAGTCCTTCCTGATGCATCTGTACCACAGGTATTCCTTCCCATATTCACTCTCGATCATCCTTCTGTGGGCTCGGCTGCTAATGTACCTGGCCTGGATCGGTAACTTAGTGGGACAACACCCATCTCGGCATATAGGATCTTGTTTGGGAGCTTCAATGTAGCGGGAACCTTGGCGCGGTTACCACACGTCATCCATCCATCCATCTATCAATCAATCAATCAATCAACGAACCTAATCTCCCCACCGTCCGGTAAAAATATAATATGTATATATATATAATTTTGCATAATAATAATAACATTATAAAGTTAGATATACCGCCGGGTAGCCACCGACATTATATTACGGGTTGCATTATGCAACTTCAAACCCAGCCGCCGTGGTTTATGCAAGCGGGCAATGCTATGATAAATACGATAAATTTATTGCATCATCGTAAATAGTTGCCGTACTCGTAAGGGTGCTCAGCCACCTCGTACTGTGCTCGTACCCGCACTACACTAGTGCTAGCACACACCCCACACAGGCAGGCTGCCAACTGAACGGCGGCTATTCCATGGGTGGGGAATTTCGCTCACTTCCGTGGCCCGACTGCGATAATGCTAGGCAGTAATTCGTACCACCACAGCGAATGCTCACTTTCAAAGGAGAAGGAGGGAGGGGAAATGGAAATGAAATATTACTCCAATTCAGAAGTGCCATACCGGTGTTCCAAAACCAACAGACTAACTGTAACTATGCCCCCCCCACATCCCTCCCAAATCCAGATCCCAATATCTCATAACAAAGCCGAACCTAAAAGAAAGAAATATTCCCTACCCCCGCAATGCAATACAAACGACCAAACGTTACCAATCCCTGCCGACAAAACGAGGGGAGGAGGGCGATTATCTCAAGTAAGAATGAAAGGGAAGGGAAGAGCGACAATCAGGTAGGGTGCAATCCGAAGAGAGTGGAAGAAAAAAAGGCAAATCATAACCAAAGCAAGGAACGTAGGTGAAAGCAAAGAAAAGAAAAGAGATAGATAGACATGACCCAACTCTAATACCCAATAGCAATAGTAAAAACGTGGAGAACCAAGACAATAATAACACCGGGGGGAATCAATATTCCCGGTGCCATATCATGAGTGACTGCAAGGCCAACCCTGCTTCCCTTCCAACAGAAGGAACAAAATGAAGAGACAACCAACAGGGGTTGAAAGGAGGGAGGCAAAGAAGGAAACAAAGAAATAAAGAAATAAATAACAAAGCGTAGGTACATACACGCAAACATAATTACGACACAATCTACAATCAGAAGACCCCACACTTCCTCCCTTTTCAATAGTTGAAAAAAGTTCTCAACTCTGCCTTAAATTCAACCAACTAAGATTATCCACACTCCTGCCGGTTCCCAAATCCGGCCCCGCACTCCCCCCAGATTCGTCGCTCACCATCAAACTCTCCGGATAAACACTGCTAGTAACAGCCCGCTGCTGCTGCTGTAGACTTTCCCCACCACCGTACCCCCACTCATCCCTCCCACCACCCATCGGCGTCCAAACCGAGTTCACCATCCTCTCGTCATTAATGCTATCTGGAATTCTACTCGAAAGGCTACTAGCCGTCGAGTAAACGCTCGCGTCGTCGGGGTGTGATCGTTGATCCTCGCGGCGGGCAAAACCGACGCCCACGCCCGGGTCCTGTAGGACAAGACCTTTAGACGGGGAGCGCTGTAGGTTATATTGCGAGCGGGGTGGGGAAAGGGATGCTCCTGGGACGCCAAGACCACCGGCTACGACACCGCTTCCTGAATTGTGCAGGTATGGGTTTGTGTGTAGACCATGCGGGGGTGAATAGTTTGTTGTTGCGGTTGTGGCGTCGGTGTAGGCGGATGAGCGGGCGGTGGAGTATGATCTTTGCGGGAGTGCGACCAGGTTTGTTGGAACGCTTGTGCCGGAGAACCAGTCACTCCAGCCCGAGCCGCGTGCTCTGTCTTTTCCGCTTGAGCTTAAGTTTCGGTTCATTGTGGTGCTATTGTTGGCGGAGAGCGGTTGCGGGGGAATTTTTCCGCTGCCGACTATTCCAATACCGCCCACTGCATGAACTGTTGGTCCTGAACCCCCGGTTAGGGCTTGTGTGCTGGATGATGATGAGGGACGGAGGGCCTGCTTTTCCACGTGCGCCCAGCTGTTGGAGTTACTACGGTTCAAGATTCCACGTCGGGGTGAAGGGAGTGGGCCGTCGGTCTCCTGCATGAACGAGGTGCCGCGGTCTTGGAAGGACAAACGTGTCGCACCGCTGGCACGACGTTCGTGGCCGGCTTGACGGTGGGCTTCCTGTCTCTTCCGTCGTTTCAAGATGAAGAGGGAAATGGCGAGAACCAGGACTGCACCAAGGATGGAGCCAAGGATGATGAATAGGAGTTGGATGGTGGATAACTTAGCACCACCGCCGCCCGGTGGGGCCACCACTGTTGATTTTGTAGGTGTTGGAGTTACGGTTGGTGACACTTCCGACGTAGGGCGGTCCAGGGGCGTGACAGTTGGTGATGAGATGCTACCCGACCCTGTGATGAACGACTGGCCAGTAAATAATTCTGTCGTATTCACCCAGGTATTTGCTCTTGCGTTAAACACAACCACCGGGTCTCCAGCATCCCCTCCTCCACTTATAACCACCATGTCCCCGTTATGAGCCAGAGAAAACCCATCCCTAGTCGATCCCGGAGCGAGTGACCCATTGTACGCGGGCCAATTTTCCTGGGTTAGAGACGTTGTCGAAGGAGCCGGGGCCGAAGAGGTTTGGGTCTGAGCCGATGATTCCTGCCTCCTGCGCTTACCGCCAGTTGGCTCCTTTACCTTTGTGAAGGTGACAGTTGTCGGAGCGGTCGTCATATCAAAAACCAGCAGCACCCTACTCCCATCATCCCCATCCATCAAACTCACAGCAGCTCTACCCCTCGTAGGCAATCCCTTTTCCAACCTCACCCCTAGGTTCCTCCACCCTCCATCGATTTCAAACACCTTCAAGTTTGTATTAGCCCGATCCCCACCAACTACCAAAGCTCCACCCTTCTCCCACGGCAGAACCAAAGGCGCCAGTAACGGATCCGCGGCCGGGATGGAGGTTATCTCAAACGGTGCTGAAGTCTTGATCAGGTAAGTATTTGCCGAGGGTGTGGAAGTGTCCGGCCATCTCGTCCCAGAGAAGATGATAAGTTGCTGGCTCGTCTCCAGATAGGTTGCGCCATGGTTAGTCAAGTTGAAAGCCACAGGCACCGGCAAAGCAATAGTCTCCCACCTCTTGCCGATGAACGACCACCGTTGCACCCCGCCAAAGCCAGCCTCCGGCACAGCCGACGGGTCGGACGTCGTACCCCCAATAACATACAGAGCTTCTTGGGGGGTATTACGGTGAGCATGAACACACTGGGCCCCAGAAGTGCCAATGCCCGAAGGCAACACCTGCCATTTTTCATCCCTTGCCAAGCGCAACGATTGAAACGCCGTGGCAGAGTAAGTGTACAAAGTTTCGTTAAAAATCGCAGAGCAGTGATGGCCCAAAGGCCTCTCAGGCACAGGGACCGACATGATCCGACCGATTTCAGCTTCCTTTTCCTTCTTTCCTTCTCAAAAATCCGCGCACCGCGCAAAAAGTGTAAAAAAAAAAATAACAGTGAATGGCTCCGTTCGCTACAGGTCGTTGGTTAAACAACGTCAAAACGTCAAATCAATCCAGGGGGCCCAGCTCTCGCTTTTTTGTCCCGTTGAGTGGTGCTTTGAACCAAGTTCTCGAGAAAGACCGATGGGAGGGAGAAGCGCCAGCAAAAGAATAGTAGAGGAGCCTGCCTCTCGATGATGGCATGCGCTCTCCTCAGAATGAAATTGTGCCGAGTCCCAATCCCAAGTACGGCAGCCAGCAATGATTGACTCGAGGCCGAGAGAGTATTTTCACAACCGGTTGGCAGATAGTGGATCTTTAGGATCGCTCCATTGGCCTATAACTACCCCCAACAGGACCTATGTCAGCTCCAAAACAAAACAAAAACTTTTTTAAAAAAAAAATAGTATTAAAATGGGGCCTCGGTGGAAGGTATTTACAAACCAGAGAATAGGTAAATCACGCTCTCCTCTGATGGCTCACCACGCCTATGGAGGATAATCGTATACTTTCACAGCGACGAAGGGCCGACTATGGGAGAGAAGGAAAGGGTGGGACAACAGGAGAAGTTAGGGTCCAGCCTCGATGGGTGAGAAAAGAGCGCAAGGCGAGAAATGGCGGGGGGGGTGTTGAAGGGGAGTGGGTGGTGTGTGGGATTGGGGGTTACGGCGGCAGTTACAGGTGTAGCAGAAGAAAGGAGTGAGTGAGTGAGAAGTACGACACAGATGGATTGGTGCTGACAACCCGACCGGGGCCGGGGAAGTACCGTACGGTAAGAGGTGAGGGGATAAGGAATCGTGGAAAAGCGGATCCACCACCTCTGGTCTCCCTTTGTCTTTCCCTCTCCTCTCGCCCCTTCCCGCCCGCACACAACGACAATTACCGGTACGAGTACAACTCTGCCGTTAGCAACATTGTTTGCTTTCATGCGCGATAAGATGTATGCCCGCCACGGTCACTGCACAGAAAGAATGGGATGGGAGGAAGGAAAATACCGACAAAAAAGCAAAGGCGAAGCACATCAACCATCACGAAGAGATGCTAGCATGGGCATACCCAAGAAAGCCAGAAGAAGGAAGAGAAGGGAAGGCAAGGCAAGGCAAGGCCGGGCAGGGCAAGGTATCGTAATGTAAGGAAAGGCAAGCAGAGCAGCGGTGTCCCGTAGAGACAAATCCTCGTAGTGCTACTTGTCCCAGGCAAGAAGTACTCGTACAGTACTCGAGTACAAGTGCCAAACAACAGGGGGGGAGGGTGGGATAATGGTGCTGTGCACTCGAGCTCAAATTAGGCACACTTGCTCCTCAACCATGCAAGCACATTTCGCCAACCCTGCTCTCGGGTACTGTACGAGTACAGTACTCGTGCAAAGTGCAGTACAAAGTGCTGTGCTATCGAGCACAGTACTGTACTGCACTCGTACAGGTCTCATCCATCAGCGGCAAGGCCAAGTCTGCTCGGTCAATCCGAGCTACAGTGACTACGATAACGGTTCGGTAGATGGCAGCAGGACAGGATGGTAGGGGAATCACGAAGCCAGCAGCACGGGCAATCAATCAACCGAAGAGCGAGGAGGGGAGTGGAGGGCAAGCGACAGGAGAGCCCGATACCAGCACTCGAGTATGGGGAATACAGGGGCGGGAGGGCACTAATCTAGCGTATGAGCCAACGAACGGAGCTTCCACCGTAGAACACAGCACCGTAGGATACCGGTGACCGTTACAAATACAACAACAACGACGACAACAGCAACAACAACAACAACACGCTCTACTAGTACCGTACGGTAGCAAGCAAGCAAGAAAGCTTCCCCTCGGAAGGTGCGTGACGAGATGCACTCCGATTGTACTGTGGTGTACTCAGTGCTATACTTGTACTCGCACAGGCATGATATGGCACAAGCAAGCAGCACAAGGGTCAAAAGGGGTGAACACCGAACACAGGAGCGGGAAGGGGGCAACAAAAAATAAAAAGGGGACAAGACTCGATGCACCGTACGAGTACTCGTAGGGCGCTCGTGCATTCCCTTGTCGAATCTGGCACAAACAGATACCCCCTCTTCCCCTCTGCTTGTACCGCATACCGCAAGCGGTTCCGGTAATTGAACCGCCTGGTTTCCAGCCTATCCCGCCCCGTCACGGTGGTCACCGCCATCACTGTCATCACATCCCTCGCTCTCCATCCACTCCGCCAGGCCTTCCTCTCCTGTCAAATAGAAGTCCTCCTTTCCCCTTCGCTGCCTTCCTCCATCTCCCTGCTGATGGGTTCGTGGGTTGTCGTTTCTTCCTCTGGTGACACACTCGTACCTGACGCCAGCGAACCCCTGTCCTGAGACAGCGAGACACTCAGAACGCCCGCCCACCTTCCCCATCCACCGCCTGGAGATGCAGGCACCGGATGGGAGAAAATCACGAACGAGCCGGACCCCCTCTTCCCCCTCATAGCCAATAGTTGCCGTTTCCACCACACCACCACCCATGGGAGAGAGGCAGGGACCACACCCATCCATCCATTTTACTGTAGCCAGAATAGGGCTCAGCCAAGAAACTTCACAACCTTTACCGTACCAGCACCCTAGAAAACCTGTTGGAACGGGAGAAGTGAGTGAGAGGAGGTGAAAGTGTGGAGGGAAAGGAATCGTGCTGTATGGATGATCTCCCATCTCTGCAAGCATTCTGTTTCTCATCCACTCGCTTCACCGCCAATTAGACATCTTGCTTTTTCTTCCCTTTCCTCCATGCCCCCCCCCCCTCCCTCCACCGCTATGGTAATGGCCAGCGAACCAGCGCTAAAACAAGTGTTTGCAGTGCAGATCTCGCTTCTGCAAGCTACTCGTACGCGCAGGGTCGCCATCGCCACCCGTTCATTGTGCCCTTTTTTTTTCACTTTTCGGTGTCTTGTTTTTTCCTTACCTGAGGTATGCTATCGTACCCTATTATCGCAGGAATACTGTACGAGTACATGTATATACGCGGGGAGTACCGGTATGGGAAGGCACAACGGTTACTACAGGTCCCTCGATAACTGATTGTTTGCTTTTGGAATGGCTTGTATCGGGACGGAACGGGGTACAGTACCGATACTCGAGTAGGATACATCCCCCTATCAAAGGAGTGTTCGGTTTCCTCGGGATCACGGGGTGTGCAGTACTGCACTCGAGTATCCCTTGGTACTGGCAGTTTCCGTCGTTTATCCGCGCTGGCTGCTGTGAATTTCTGACTGCCGGTATCGTTGCAGTGCGAAATACGAGTGCTGCGCCAGCATCTAATTATCCATTCCGTGGTGAAAAGCGAGTACCGGCACTCGTACGGTACGGTTCTTTGCTTCAGTCGACTCTGCACACCGGTATTCCACGCCGCCCGGTGATCCAAATTAGCCAAGAATATTCCAGTTTCCAGGACTCAAAACGCACGAGCAAAACCCCTCCCACTGCGTACCTAATTGTACTCGTACTTGCCTCCTAATCGGCCACCCGGTACTGGTACTCGGGTAGCACGAGCGACGAACGCCTGAGCTACTCGTACCGGTACCGGTACCGGATCCCACCGATCTACCGCAACAACCCAAATCCAGGAGCCTCCCAATAACCATCGCACAAACCGTTGATCCACCCGAGTATCATTCAACAATCGGTGCAAGTACCATGCACGGGGCCACAAAAACATACAAGTACTCGAGTACGGTACTAGTACACGTACGAGTATAGTACGGTACGCGTCTTCGCCCAACCAGCCGTAACCTTGCTCCATCCAATGCATTCCGACCCAGAAAAGTACCTGTGCGAATGCAAGTGCGTTACAAACGGCCAGTACCGGTACCGGTATTTCGCCATGATCCTCCACCCCCTGTTTCTTCCTTCGGACTCCCCCATAGTGCTAGCTAGCCGCACTCGTACTACGATACATGCTTAGCTTAGCTCGTTCCATGATTGTCACGGAATACTAGTACTGTAATCATCCTTCGCTCGGATATCCTTTCTCTCCTCCTCTCGATGGCCACGGAAATGCGAGCACCGGTACCGGTATGCAGCAGATGCCGGTGCGCTTACCCCTCCCTCCATCCGGTTCATCGACCCGAGCGATCATTCCGAATATGGTAGGTATCTGAAGCGGTGGGGAGAAAGGAATGCTCGCGCTACTGTTTTGTTATTATTGTTGCCGTTATTGCAGGGCGCTTTCGGGGTGGCCCATTTGTATATTGATGCACCGCACTCGGGCATTGCATAGTGCCCTCCATCTACAAAAGGGGTTGGTTAGCTCGCATTGTACTTGCAGAGTACAGTAACTTTTTCCGGGTCAGCTGAGTGTTTCTGACCCCCTGGGCTCGCATCCGGGTTCTTCCAAGGTAGTCGAGGGGGGGCTACCGGTATTTGTGGAGGGGGGATCATCCGGGGTATACGGTTGGGTAGAGGGCCAAGAGCAACAAGCCGGGTACCGTACTCGTACACGAAAGGATTGTCATGGAACTTTGTGCTGTACGAGTACTCGAGTACAGGCACTCGAGCACACTGCTAGATTATTATTTATAGCAATGATATGTCACTCGAGTCTACTGCTGGTTCGGGGTGTTGTTGGCGTGCAACTGTCCAACAATTCTGAACTTGGCTATGATATAACAGAAACACACCCCTCCCCTGACTGACTAAAACATGCCCGAGATAGATAGTAACTACAACTACAGCTCCGATAACAACAGAATCGGGTAAAATAGAAACAAGCAATCACGAAATACCAGACCAAGTAAAGATTTAATTAATTAATACATGTTAGAGTACCGGTGGATGTGTACTGTATCCAACTATGCCCATTTAATTCCGCAATCCTTTCCCATATTAGTAGCAATTCCAAGAAAGTTATCTCTCTCTCGCCTTGATACACTGTCTGTCCCATAATCCCCGGCATTTTTTCTGTCTGGCTAAGATTTGGGGTGGTTACAGTGCTGGCCATGGTTCTTTACGTGTGGGGTTTATATGATACTTGTGATGTTCTGGACAAGCACGAACTCTCGAAGTGAAGGAAGAACCCGTTTGTTTTTAGCTGGTTTATCGGAAGACTGGATCTGGAATAATTGTGCCTGGACGTACTTACTCGGTTTGTGGGATGGAGTATCCGAATGGAAAATGGTTCGTCTTGACCAGGTATGATTGATGCCTTCTTCCACCCTCGACGACATAAAACAGATATTAGTTGCAATAGAACTACGGAGGCATCTACAGCGTGGGGTCTGGCGGGCCGGTCCGGCGATTGATTATCATACTGCCCATAGAAGCGGACATCCGAATGGATGACATTTCTCCGAGTACCATTCCGCAGATTGCGGTGGCTTCCATGTATCCATGTGGGTTGTTAAAACCCTATAATATCTATCACCTGGTGTTTCCTCTCTTGGCCGAAATGGCCAAAGTTCATGGAGTCATCCCGGGTATGATGGCAAGATCGAGAGCTTACTGTCTTTAGATACCAGCATGAAGCCCGTCCGTCCTTCGTAGAAAAAACCAAGCAGTGCAGGGGGCAAAAATTGAAGAGATGGGGAAAGAGAGGAGGGAGGAGAAGGTGAGAAGGCTAGGAGGGAAATGGATGGGGAAGTTCCGGATGTGTGAGGTGGCCGAGAGAATTATTGGTATCATACATACACCCTCGCATACGTGAGGTGTCGAGGGTGACATGCCGGATCGAGATGACCCTAAGTTACAACGAAGGATGCCGCTGGCGAAGCAGGAGATCGATTGGGGAGGGGGGGTCGAGGTGATTCAGGACAGATCAGTTCCTAATTTCCCAGAAAGTGTAGGGGTCATTGTGTTTTACAGCACGAAGGGTGTCTGTATCTTTAGGAGGTGGATATACACTTTATCCGACTTAAATCTCCCGACTATGATACCCGCTCTACCCAATCCTCTTCAGTTCATTCTGATTTTGGATGTCGATCCACTCGAGTATTATTATGATATGCGATCCACCTAGCCTGTTTGTTTGTTACAAAGTTAGTAGTAGGAAAACCCCTATTCCTCATAAACCGAGCTTTTGTGAATGGAGTTGCACAAGTGTTCGCTCTAATCTCTGTTTGCCGGTCTGGTAAGGAAGGGTACTTTGACCCTTCCCCCATGTTTTAGTCGACTATCATTAGCTATCACTCGTGAGCTGAATTTGTATAAATCGGAGGGTGGTGGAAGGTGAGAGTGGGATGGAGTAAAAACTCTATACTGTTGTTACGGGGCTCTTGTGCCTACAGTCGGTTTCACGGACATCACGGAGAGATAAAGATGGCAAGAGTTAAAACTAATTTACCTTACTGCGCAGCATCTCTTTCTAATTCATCTGGTGTTATACGGTAGCTATTCTAACCTTCTAGTACTATATTCTATATTCATATTGTAAAAAATATTTTCTTTCTTTCACAAAAACTTGGATATATATTCTTTATTATATCTGGTATATCATATTATCATCCTCCTTTATTCTAAATATACTTAAATTCCTGATATTCTGTAAACCTAAATCGGAATTATCAATTTTCCTCAACTACCATCCATGTACTAATCTGCTGATTCTAGACATGTATCTCTTGATGTTATTGTATTCTTGCCTATTATCATTTTGTGTAATGATATATAATATTTGTATCATAATAAATGGTTCAGATTAAATTTCTGCCTAAATTTAAGACTAGTAATTTTTTGTATAGAGTAACACCTACCCACTCCTATAAAGAAATCTTTTTTACTATTCAATCTCAGTGGTTAGTTGCTGATAGAGTGCAAGCTCGGCTGCCTACTAGTTAAGCTACTGATAGCTACTACAACTTTCAATTTACAAGTAGAAAATAGCCTCATAATGATTTAATAGAAGAGAAATATCGCTTATTACTTATCCCTAGTACTTTTAAGAATACAGTTAGTTGTCTTGTGACATGCGAACTTATACTTTCCTATTCTGGTACTTTGGATCCTATTTGTCCGGCTATAAAATCGATATCCTTCTCACCGTAACCAAGGTATTGTAAAAAAAATAAAGATAAAACTATTTTAAAATCAGGCTCTTTTGATTATATCTCAACTTGCAGGCTTCCTGCCTCATTTCTAATTCAATTTGCAGTACTGACGTTGGCATAGCTGCCCTTTGGACAAGTTTTTAATTTTAATCCCCTTCCTTTCCTTTCCTTTCTGAGCTCTATCAAAAATTACAAATAAAATATTGTCCCCACGGGTGTTGTTCCAAGCCAAAAAGGGCCTTTTCCTAAAGACAAGAAACAGAGAGGGAGCGCCGAGTTCATCCAGCTTTCCTTATCCTCATTTAGTCATGTTACTGCCTCTCATCGGCGGAAAAGTCACAACCGGTCACTCGAAGACACCTTATTTTCCGTCAGTTATTTTACCATATGAATATAATGCGGTAACCTATCGTATCCCACAGACAGCGTTTTCCATCCTCGTGCAAAGGGGGACACTAGATCTCAATAGAGACACATGGAGCACAGAGGAAGGAGGGGAGGGAGAACCCAATTCAGTTTTTTCTTTTCAATCCACAGCCAAGACCCCGGGATTACGAATGAGAGTATTCCGGGTCCAACTTGGCGAATCCCCCTCATATGCTACTTAAGCATAGTTCTCAAGTTCTTTTATCTAATCACCCCCCGAAATCTCTGCATGTCGACGACCTAGGGTGAGATATCGAACAGAAGCCTAACCTGGTTGGTCAGGACTTCTGCGACGTGAGCTCCTATAGCAAAGCACGAGATTACGCTACCCAGAATTAAATCTCACAGCGCGAGATACCGTTTTTCGGTATTCTTCCTTACTGTTGCGATGTACAGTACCTGTCGTTCTTTGCGCGGAAAATAGGTAAATTATCATCCAACCACTAAACACTGAAAGACCCCCAAACTGCAAACCCCCCATCTGAAGCTGCAGCCTCTTACGGAATATCTTTAGGCTATGGAGGCGGCCGAAGACCTGATACTGGTTCTTGGGCCGATCGCGCACGTTCTTGGAACTGAAATTCAAAAAAAACATGGGGAGGGATATCTCCTGAGCCGAGTGGAAAATCTATGAAAAATATTATGTAAAATAGGATATGCCTCATTTCGAGAGACGGGGGGGGGGTGCTATCTCCGCGTGGTCTTCTGGCACCTGCTGAAGATAGATTTTCGATATAATCTTCTCCACCGAATCACTCAACCAATCACCATCTGTCATATCGTACTCGAGTACTGTAGAGAAAGCATGAATTCCCGTGTTGGTCTGTGTGATTGCTGGATAGTGCTCTACCCCAAGTTTTGACTAGCGCTAGCTATATTAGCTATGATATCATAACAATGTCTTGGTAATATCTTACCCTAGGCACTTCCGAATCCCGCTTATCAGATATGACAGATTACCGCATCGGTTCCTCGACATAGTAAATCACTCGCTAAGGATAAAGATCTGCTATCATATCATGTCTACAACAGCGTCGAGATCTCTCCATAAATCCCACCAGACCCTACCCGATTCCTAAAAAAAACCCGACACAATTACACTACCATATCATACTCTAGAAACATTGTCCACGGTCGACGTAAGCGGCGAGAACCATTCTCGATACTCCAATCTCCTTCGAAATCCTTAAATGTATTAGTATGATAGAACCTTCCTTATTTATTTAAGATTTTGCATATTCCCGAGACGAATAATCCCCTGGACACTTCTAAAGGGTCGAGCTAGTTGGTTAGACGCTAAACTTAGAAAAAGGCTCCTTAAGTCAGGGGTTCCTTATTTATTTACCACAGACTGGGGAAACCAGGTATCGAATCCGTTTAGCTCGGCTTTAGCGATGGAGGGCTTGCTTAGGTCTCGCCAATTACTCGAGTATATTCGGACCGACTTGAGCTGCGCTAGACTCATGTAGACTACAGTATGATACAGTACGAGCCAAAACAGCAAGAGTGCGGATTTCTTCTGACCCTGAGTGAAGCCTCATTCACAACCCAAATTCAGGTGACCTTCGCCCTTTTTCCCCCCGTCAACTTCGATTCCTACAAAATAGCTCGTTAGAGATCCCTTCCGGTTACTGTTATCCTTTTCGTAGCAGACGTTGAAATTTGATCAAGGTTACGGCTCCACTCCGGGGGTCTAGGGACAATCCGCGCTTCATGTTTAGACTAGTGAGGTCACTCGTTTTGAACCCTTCAGAAACTCTACCCGAGCAACAGATCACCGGATGCCTTTCTTCTGGCGTCAGTATATAACGCCTAATCGAGTTATTTGGCACTTATTTTTTTTATATTCGAGAAACCCCGAATTTCGAGTCGCTACTCCATACGAGTTGTATCAGTGCACACTATCCGAGAAACTTCAACTCGGAATTTGGATTTGGCCAGTACATCCCAAATGACTGATCATCGAGAAGCCCTTCGCTAGTTCCCATTCTCTCGCCCCCCGGAAGGGCCCCCGCGGCTAATGCCCACCATAACCCCCCTTAGTTGTCGGTCAGATGATGGTCTCTGTCTTACTCTGTGTGGTCGGATACGGTACACTCATATCCTCGATCCAAGAATTACCGTCACTTTCAGAACAGCCACCTCAGGCCGAGGCCTAGATTAAGAAGAGATGGCAGCCTGGGGATAGGGGAACAAGATGGGGTTTAAAGTTCACTTCAAGTTAAATTCCGGTCGGAATCAATTGTTCCTCATGTGCAGGTGCCTGTTTATAGAGTCGTCCTAACATCTCAATCAAACCCATTGTTCGTTGGGGGCATAACAAGCTTGATCGGAGATCGAGCAAAAACGGCAATGGGTTCAACCGGTTCGGCAGGCTAGAAACATGACACCGTGGCAAATACAACAACCGTTCATTAGCGTGCCCCAAGACGACCCGAAACGCACTTTAACCCGGGACAACTGTCAAGGAGTCAACTTGCTCGGTGGCGAAAAGCCGGTAGAGTCACTAATTGTTTCGGGTCATTGTGAGGTGCGTCAACCCTATGGGAAACTTTGACAAATAGAGCCCGAAATAGAACGAATAAAAGGAGAGATGGATAAGAAAATAAATCCGAACCGACATAGAACATGCTCAAGGCCCAGTACGCAATCTCTCTATCAGGTATCCCGATATAACAACCCACGACGGCATATCCCCCGAGACTTGAGCCTCGGCGGTCATACTATAGGGGAGTGGAGTAGAGACCCCGCGGTCCGCATTGTTAGCGTAGAGTTTCCTTATCACAGTCACAATATAGCGATGTGGTGCACGATTTAGGAACAGTTGAACAGCTTCGAGCCCAGTTGAAAATTAATTTAACAACCTGATATATCGAAGCTCCAGCTCACAGAGACCATTCAATCACCCCCCAGCTCCCGAACCTCAACTTCCCGGACCATCAGGTTACTATAGCTTAGCCATAAGTAACATGCGAAGCATTCCCCTGCTCGTCGACGTGTACGTTCAGCCTAGAATGATTGTTATTCCCTCGTTAGCCCGCCATGGTATATTCCCGGTCTGAAGAAAAACAAAAAACTCACCTATCCGGGTCGTGATCCTTGGTGACGACCGCTCCGGGAGGAATTACCCTATGCCTCTCAGGTAAATCCCTTTTGCTGAAAGTATCCGCCTGAAAAACAGCTCATTAGCTCCCAAGTATAAGAGTATTTTGGAGTGGGAAGTCGAGAGCAAGCGGGGCCGTCGTACAGAATGAGCGGGGCCATCGACAATCTTCTTTCCAGAAAGTTTCGTGTGCCATTCTGCTTCGTTGAGGGTATTTACGGATGCGGGGTTGTTTTGAGCGCGGTGCTCATTGACGAGGCGGGTGAAGGTTCGTTCTTCATTGGACGACATCTTTCTTTGAGTTTTTCGGAATCTCTTGGATCGCTTGTTGCGGTGTTTGAGCTGATAATATTTCTCGTTGGTGGCTTGCGGTTGTTGCGGTTGTTGTGGAGACGGACCTGGATTTTAGCCGGCAAGCCGGATGGGATGAGGTCTTTGTGGCTGGATTGAGGTTGACGTCACTATCTCACTATCGATTCACGTGATTCCGAAATTGTAGGCGGAGGATCTAGACCATAAAATAGAAATACTAGGGGAGCATGAAACTCTTGTACGCGTAGCCTAGTCGTACTGTATGTACGGAGGTACACGTCCCAGGCATATTGAACCCGAACACAGGGGGGTAAGAATGGGGGCGAAGTGAATTAGCGAAATTAGTAGAAAAAAGAAAAAAACAAGGAGAAAAAGGAGCAAGAATAGTCTACAAAACTCCTTTTCACCCTAACCGACCCAACCTACTGGTATTGTGAACGTGAATTATCGTGATAAAAACTGATAGTAACCCTTTTTTATCAAGCAGTAAGTAAATCAATAGCAATTAAGGAGAGTCACTGACCTAGTCTATAGTTTAAAATGCCAGCCAATACTACATATGAATACGCATCTTATAAAAAAAGATGCTATGTCCAGGCACTGCGCTTTTCAGCAGGCTGGACCTATCAAAGAATTGTGGAGGACCAAGTACCGTATATGAGATATGCAATGCTCCCGCAATATCAAAGAAGCAGGGACATCGACCTTTCTCAATTGATACCCCTACCCGATGCTGGCTTGTCGCTACAGCGACAAGCAGTGCTGCACATCGCAGAATGCCTCTTCATGAGGTTACCGCTGCCTGTGGTGTACACACATGTGAGAAAACACTTCGAAAAGCCTTCAGGATGGAAGGTTACTCCCAGCGAATCGCTCTTAAAAAGCCCTTTCTTGATGCCCGTCAGCGCCAACTATGACTCGATTTTGCTCTCGCCCACCGTGGGTGGAGGCAGGAGGATTGGTACCGGGTGATCTGGACGGACGAGTGCTATGCCTGGCTGATTGGCACTTGAAGCCGTACCTGGGTTACCCGGCGCCCTGGAGAGGAGTATTAAGATGACTGCTTGGTCTCCAAGTTCGTAAAAAAAAAACTCTGTGATGGTTTGGGGAGGGATCTTGGGAGGCAAGAAAACGCCTCTTGTACTGTGAGACAAGGAGAACTGGGGAAATATAACTTCTGAGAGTTATATTCAGAATGTTTTTGTCCCAGTTCTCTTGCCCTTCTGGTATCAGGAGAGCATGGCAGCAGGACAGTACCTATGGCTGATGGAGGATGGTGCTGCTGCCCATCGGGCACGCAATACCCAGCGTGTTCAGGAAGACTATGAAATTCCTAAATTCCAATGACCTCCCTGCTCGCCTGATCTCAATCCAATTGAGAATGTTTGGAATATTCTTAAGGATATGCTAAACAAGAGGTCACACTGGCCTACTACTCTACTGGGTATGTGGGAGGCCATTCAGGGGGAATGGCAGAAGAGCTCTGAAGTTGATCTTTTGTCATTTGTTACTAATTCTATGCCCGAAAGGATCGAAGCTGTTATAGTAGCTGGCGGAGGTCATACATCGTGGTAAATTTTTTTAATTTTTAGTTTTTAGTTTTTAATTCTTAATTCTTAGTTCTTAATTTTAATATTAATATTAATTTCTAATTTTTAATCTTTAACTATCATGGTTTTCTTTCAATCTGTATATCTACAAGTGACTTCTATTGAATACGATACACACTTTCCACTACTTCAACTTCAGCCCTTTAGTCAAATGCGCAATGTCAGACTGTGTGCCAAACCCCTGTCAGGCCCCTGCTCACCCCCTCCGTTTTACACCCCTGTGTTCGGGTTCAATATACCTGAGACGTGTATAGCCAGTAAGTTTTGTATATTTTACTAGCATGGGGGAGACTCGCTAGCAGGGGTAATGTGAGTGAATATGGAATAGCACAAGGAGTAAGGTGAATGTGGAATAGTGCAAGGAGTAAGGTAAATGTAAAGACTTTTTCACAATAGCGACACCATTAAAATCTGTCCATTAACGAAGAACTTGAAGCCATACACTGGTACCGAAATGGACTCAGAGCATTCCAGAATTTTCCATCTGACATGGGATCAGAGACATGACTGTCAACTTTTACCCTCAATTGGATGGTGGTATGCCCAAATTCAGGAAAAATCTGGGCATTCAGTTCACTAGATCCATTATGCCTGTACCTCACTGGCTACTCTAACAAAGAGGCTAGATTGTCCTCCTATCCTTTCCCAAGCCCAAACGGAAGACATCATTGTCTATGTCTGCTCATCTGCTCATAATCAATGTTTTTCTTTCCAACAACTTACAGAAGAGTTAGAGTTAGGTGTAGGAAAAACTGCAGTAAGATTAGCACTAATTAAAGAGGGATTTCACCCCTAGCTTGCTATGAGAAAACCACTAATTAGTGAACAAAATCGAGTAATTAGGCTTCAATGGGCTCAGGATCATGTAGGCTGGACTATAAACCAGTGGTATTCAATTCTCTGGACTGATGAAACCTGGAGTATAGGAGGAAGGCATACGAGAACCTGGGTTACTAAAAGGGCTGGTGAAGAGTGGGATCTAATGTATATTGTTGAAAAATATCAGAGAAAGAAAGGATGGATGTTTTGGGAGTGTTTCAATAGAGATATACAGGGTTTGGGCATCTTTTAGGAGAAGGATTGAGGGTTAATCAATTCAAAAACCTACCATGCACATACAGTTCCTATTATATATGAGTATTTAGAACTGTGTTGGTGCAACAGAATTCATTTGAAACTGATGCAAGATGGAGCACCTGGTCATACAGCTGCTGATACAGCTGCTGATCTTCGAGAGAGAGGGATTTCAGTTATTTACTGGCCTCCCTTCTCACCAGACTTGAACCCGATTGAATAAGTATGGCATATCATGAAAAATTATTTACAAAATAATTTTCCTGAAAACATGATATATAATAGATTACGGAATGCTATCAATGAATCATAGGATGCTATTGGACTACATGAGTTTAGAGAACTCATTGAGACTATGCCGGCAAGGTGTTAAGCAGTAATTGATGCTAATGGTCTCTTTACAAAATATTAGAGGTCTATCTGACACTGGCAGTCTTCTGTAGTCCTCCGCAGACTCCCTCAATAGTTACTGGAGGACTACACTAATAGCCTACCCCATATGGTCCTCCTGACTGTCCTCCCCTGGCAGTCCTCCCCCACAGTCCATGGCAGTCCCCCCAGCAGTCCCCCGATGCCATCCTCTCTGCTGTCCCTCCAGCAGTTCTTCCCCACAGTTCTTCCCCGCAGTCCCCCCCACAGTCCTCCCCCCCACAGTCCTCCCCTCCACAGTCCCCAGCAGTCTCCCCAGCAGTCTCCCCCGCCGTCCTCTCCACAGTCCCTCTGGTAGTCCTTCCCCACAGTCCCCCCCTACAGTCCCTTTGCTATAGTACCCTGCCAGTCCCCCCCCGCAGTCTCCTCCCTGCAGTCTCCTCTGCCGTCCTATCCCATAGTCCCCTCTGCAGTTCCACCTCACAGTCCGCTCTGCAGTCCCACCCCGCAGTCCCCTCTGCCGTCCCACCCCACAGTCCTCCCCCACTGTCCCCAGCAGTCCTCTCCTCCCACAGTCCCTAGTGCTTCCCTCCTCGATATACAATTCCCTAGAGTTCCCCATAGTCCCTAGTAGTTCCCCGCAGGTCCCAGCAGTCTTCCATACTAGTTTTTCACAGTCCTCATATGTCTCCTCTGTCCCCTCCACCCCCCTGTACTCTTCCACACTCCCCTGTACTCCTCCATAGTCCCTAGCAGCCCTCTGCAGTTTCTATAGTTCTTGTAAGTCTCAATCAAGGAGATAAGGAAATACCTTCATTACTATTTTCATATTTACTGTTTCATTGGTTAGCAGAGAGAATTTAGAGTAAGAAAGCAGGAGGAAATTTTTCTACTTACTCAAATATTGTGCCCATATACTGATAATCAGAGATGTAGAGAGTACAAATTATTCAAGACTTGCTTGCATTCTGAAACTAGCCCCAAGGCAACATACCTAATCCACTGTCCTGTCTCCTACTAGTGCAACTCCCCCTGCTAGTGCAACCCCTCCCTCTACTGTTGTACGTTAGCAAAAGTAAGCGAACATTCTGCATCACAACGACAATCTCTGCGACATCGCAACCCCTCCCCCTCACTCCCCAGCCCCACAATACCTTTATTACAACAGAAAAGATCTCTATAATGCATTCTCGCAGAAGCCATAGGTACAAGCCAATCCCTACCAAGCATCTTACCTCTTATCAAAGAGGTCAAGTGATTGGACAGCGAGAAAAAGGCACCCCATTCCGCAAAATTTCTCATGACCTCAAAATCCCTCTCTCAACGGTTTTCAATACAGTCAACAAATCCCAACCAGATGGAGAGGAGAGGAAGCATTCAGGTAGACCTAGGAGGTCTACTAAAGAGAAGGATGATGTAATGCTAGAAGCAGCTCTTCATAATAGATCTATTACTTATGAAGAGATTGCTAAGAGGGTAGCACCTCAGGTGACTGGACATACTGTAAGGAGAAGGCTTAGGGAAAGGCATTTGCATAAATGGATGGCAAAGGAGAGGGAGCACTGGAGTGAGGATACTGCTAGAGAGAGATTGGAGTGGGCTTTAGCTCATAGGAATTGGACAAGAGAGATGTGGAGGAAGAGAGCAATGTGGGGAGATGAGGTTACAGTAGAAAGAGGTGGGGGTAAGAGAAGGAAATGGATATTTAGATATCCTAAAAATAAGTGGAATAAGGACTACATTGAGCCTACTGCTAGGAAAGGTGAGAGAAAGGTTAGTCAAATGATGACTGGTTTTTTTTATGGTCAAAAATATGGTCTTTTTCTTCCTGTTTTTCCTGATCCTAATTCTGCTGGTGGAGGAGTTACTTCAAGATCTATTATTCAGGTTTATGATCAGTATGATTTCACAGGTATATGGGAGGAAATAAGAGCAGAAAGAGGAGAGGAGGAAATTTTTTTGATTATTGACAATGCCAAAACTCATCTTCCCTTCATGAGATGGCTCAGATCTAAAGGTATTACTATCAAACAAATCTCTCCCTACTCCCCAGATCTTAACCCTATTGAACATGTTTGGTCACTTATAAAAGACATGCTTAATAAGAAATACCCAGAGCTTTATCTCATGAAGGGATCTAAAGATGAGATCAGAAAGGCTATTGAAGAGGCAGTTACTTTTTGTTGGGAGCTTTTAAACTCAAAGGTCTTTGATAAGTTGGCAGAATCTATGGTTGACAGGATTGAGGCAATTATTGATGCAAATGGATGGTACACAAAGT